TAGCATCCTTCTTCCCCCGCCTCCGCCTCCGCCACAGAATATGTTTAGTCAGGGGGCCCCAGAGGGCCCCCAGGGGGCCCCAGAGGGCCCCCAGGGGGCCCCTCGGCGCCTTCAGGGGGCCCCAGGGGGCCCCCAGGGGGCCCCCGTGGGCCCCCCTTTGTTGGTTGTTTTGGTTTTTTAATTTGGGGCTGCAGCAACTAGGCGACCCCGACAGCAGCAAACAAATGAAGTTGGGCGGGACTTGGGGTTTGTGTTGCAGTTGCTTTTTCTTTATTTCTTTAATTCCTTTCTTTATTTACTTCATTTCTTTCTCCATTTATTTTATTCCTTTATTTATTTATTTATTTCGTTTCTTTCTAATCTGTTCATTTATTTCTTTAGGCGGTGTTTCTTCCTCTATCTTCTTGTCTGCTCCTCCTCTGCTTTTTGCTGCTGCTTTCGTGCTTCCCTATCCGCTTGTGGTAATTGTTATTTATTTTATCCATTTATTTTATTTTTTCATTTTATTTATTTAGTTTGTTTGTTTATTCGCTTTAGTTGTTTTGTGGCTCCTAGCTCCGCCTAGTAAACAGTGCACAGGGGGTCCTGAGCTGTATGTACACCCCAACAAGCCGCCACCAGAAAGGAAGAAAGAAAATGGTGCTGTTCTCGCTTGTAGATATTGAATTAATAAATAACAATATAAACAAAAAGAAAACAAAATAGATACAAAATGGATTTATTCTGCTGCTTCGTCAAGTTTTCCTTCTCGTTTTGAACTCGTGCGAAATCGGGGTGTCTGTACACCTCAGCAGCCCGCGAGCCGCTCCCATGTTTCAAAAACGACGAATCTTTTTCATTTCTGAATTAATTTCAATTCAAACTTATTTAAATGTTTAATTGCTGCAATTGCGGCCTCCGTGGCACTTTTATTTGCAAACTTTCCTCCAAAAATGAAGTCAAACTTGCATGCGGCCGTCGGGTGTATGTGCAGACACCCCGCGGTTTCCAGACAACAAAATTCAAAAAATGCATTATAAAATTAAAATTTTTTTTCCAACTTTTGAGGAAATAGTTTTAAGAGCTAATTAACCTTATCGTCAACTTTTAAGAAAATGATAATTTAAAGGTTGAAATTCTTTTCAACTTTTAGCGAAATCCAATTTACTTTAAAAGCTCATGCTGATGGCCAGCTGCGACTCCTTAATATTCTCCATTTCCCACTTCCTATTTCATAGTTTATATTTCATACTTTTTACATTTCAAATTTTATATCATACTTTTTATATTTCGTATTTTGTATTTTATATTCCACATTCCCTACCTTATATTTTATATTTTGTACTCCATATTTCATATTTTGTATTTTATATTCTATATTTCCTATTTTGTATTTTATATTTTACATTTCAGATTTTGTATTTTATATCCTACATTTCCTATTTTGTATTTTATATTTCGCATTATATATTTTGCATCTTATATTTCACATTTTCGATCTCAAATTTAATATTTTTTACATTTTATATTTTATATTTCAAATTTTATATTTCACACTTCCTTTCCATATCTCGTATTCCTTATTTCGTACTTTTATTCATTTTTATTTATTTTCAATTTCACATTTCTTACTTCATTTTGTTTTATTATAATTTTATTTCGTTTCTGTCTTATTTTTATTTTATTACTTCATTATTGTTTTATTTTTGTTTTATTATTTCATCTTTGTTTTCTGAGATTTGGCGTTTATTATTTCGTTTTTGTTTATAATTCAAATTCCCTATTTCCCATTTTCTGTTTTTAATTTTTAATTTTAATTTTTAATTTATTTGCTCCTTTTGCTGCGGCTGGCGCTCAACCAAACAAAACAAAATAAAATGAAATAAACAAACAACTAAAATGAAGTACAATAAAAATAAAGTAAATAAAGTAAAATAAACAGCTAAAATAAATATCCAAAATAAACAAAGCAAACTAAGTATCCCAAATAAAGTAAAACAAAATAACTAAAGTCCCTAACTGACAAACGGATGGATTGGCTTCGTTCGTATTCCCGCTGCTGCTGCTGCTGCTTCTGCTGCTGCTGCTTCTGCTGCTGCTACTTCCGCTGCTGCTGCTGCATCTGCTGCTGCTGCTGCTGTGTGGCTTCGAAGGCGCCGCAGCTTGTGCGCGTTTTTTCCCGCTGCAGCTGCTGCAACTGCGGGAAAAAGCCTTCATGCGCTGCTGCTGCTGCAGCAGCAGCAGCAGCTGCAGCAGCAGCAAAAGTGGAAAAAGCTGGAGAACTGGAAAGGTCACTCGTCAGGCAAGTTGCCTTCGTCGAAGTCGTGCTTCCTGCGGGGCTGGAAAGTTTGCTGCTGCTGCAGCTGCCGATTTGCTTCCACAGGATTTATATTTGGCTTCACTTCTATTCCCCGAAAAATGCTCTCGTGGCCCCGCCCAGTCATGAACCCTGGCATGGTCTTCTTCGACGCCTGAACACACGCAACCAACAACTGCTGCTGCTGCTGCTGCTGTTGCTGCTGCTGCTGCTGTCGCTGGTGCTGCTGCTGCTGTGGCTATTACAGGGAGGAGGCAACTGATTTGAAGGGGTCCTTGAAGTGGGTGGGTGGAGTTGCTGCAGCAAAGCTGCAGCAGCTGTGGAGGTGCTGCAGCAGAGCTGCAGCAAGTGGAAGCTGGTGTGGAGGGCCTTGGGAAACCGGGAAATACCTTTTTGTTGAATTGCTGCCAAAGTTTGGCGCTGTCTGCGAGCTGCTGCTCGGCCTGTTCGGTCTTTTGCTGCTGCTTGATGGCCTTGACTCTTCTTTTTTTGCTGTTTTTCTGCGCCTCGGTGTCTGCAGCAGCAAAAGCGGAGAAACTTTGAAAAACTTGCGAAGAAAAGAAGACTTTGCAGGAAAAGAGTGGCGGAAGGCTGCAGAATCATGAAAGTGGCGACCCTCGTCACTGACACGCGCGGCGGCGCGCAGCCCCCAGGTGTACGTACACCCCAACTTGCACACCCACCCGTCGGCTTCGCCGCCAGATACTGCGGAATGCGGTAACCTCCGGGGGTAATTATATCATTAGGTCTGTTTTTTGGAGTATTTTTTCTCGGAAATCGAATTCTGTCTCCCGGGAGATCTTCTTCGTTCTTGTATTCCGCAAAACGGACGCGAAATCCGAACGGAGTGGCCGCCAGGATCGAGCAGTTGTACCACCGCCTGCGCAAGCCCGATCCTCCGGATATTCCGCTTTAAAGGCGAATTAAAAGGTAATTTAATTCAAAAATTAAATCAATTCAACTTTTTATTTGCATTTCGAAACTTATTTTCCCTTTTAAACGCAAATTCAGACAACCACCTCCACTCGCGCGAATTTCAACTTTTCAAGTCGCGAACAAACGCGTACATCGTTGAAACAATTAACCTCAAAAACGTCTTTAATTAATTCAAAAAAAGATATTAAAGATGTTTAAATGAACCAAACAAAATCGCAGCAGCAGCAGCAGCAGCGGCAGCAAACTGAGCCGCTGCAGCACAAGCAGCAGCCTACTGAAGGAAACCAATTTGTTGAAAAGCAGATAAAGCAGACTTGCAACCATTAAAACAATTTATTAGAATGAATTGTTTCAATAAATTGTTCCAATAAATTGTTTCAATTAATTATTCTAATGAACAATTTAGTTGAATTAAATTATTTTACTTGAACAATTTAATAAAAGGAAATTATTCCATTTAAATAACAATTCATTGAGACTTTCCACTTCATTAAAAGACTAAAATTAAAATGAATTTAAGAAGAGCAAAAAAGAACTAAAAACAAATATTTAAATTAAAAAAGAATTCATTTAATTAAAACAATTAAACTGAATCTAATTAATTAAAAGGCAATTAAAAAGAATATAACTACTTAAAATATAATTTAAAAAAATAATTTTAAAAATTAAGTTAATTAAAAGAATTGAAAGGTTAGAATTAATTGGAAGAATTAAATTAATTAAAATGCAATAAAAAGAATAATTAATTACGATATAATAAGAAAGAATAATCAATGAAATAAATTAATTAAATTAATTGAAATAATTCAATTAATTAAATTAATTAAAATAATTAAATTAATTAAATTAATTAAAATATAAATAAAAGAACTAAATCAAAATACATAAACTAATTAAAATACACAAATAAAAAGAACTAAGCAGTCTAAAATAATCAAATAAAATAAACAAATAGAATAAATAAAAATAAAATAATAAATAAATAAATAAATAAACAATAAAATAAATAAATAAATACCCGTCTCCAGAGTAAATGGCTTGTGCTGCAGCACCAACTGGAAAGTCTGCTGCTGAGGCTTGCGGCAGCAGCACAACTTGCTGCAGCGGATACTCTTCTCTGTTGCCCCACCCTATGAAGTCCACCACCACTCTTTCCCCCTCCTGCAGCAGCAGCAGCAGCAGCAGCAGCAGCAGCAGCAGCAGGGAGGAGTTCACGCCGCTCGAAGCTGCTGCAGCGCTCAGGGGACAAAATACGGAAAAGGCGAAAACGCAGCAGCAGCAACAACAGCAGCAGCAATAACAGCAGCAGCAAAAGCAGCGATAACAGCAGCAGCAACAACAGCAGCAGCAGCAACACCAACAACAACAGCAGCAGCAACACTTTAAACTTAAAAAATGAAAACCTATGCTTTCCGTCTGCCCCGTACGGCCAGGACAGCGACTTGCGGTGTACAGACACCTCGTAGCAGCAGCAGCAGCAGCAGCAGCAGCTCACCTTGGGGTCTCGCTTGACCTCCACAATTGAAGCATAATATCTTTTCCCCTCATATTCTGCAGAGCAAGTGCGGCCCACAAGAGGCCCCCTTGCTGCTGGCTGCTCTGCTGCTGCTGCTTTTGCTGCTGCTGCTGCTGCTGCAGGCGCGGGGGTGGGGGCTGCGTCTGGGCGGCCCGCAGTCTGCTGCTGCTGCTGCTGCTGCTGCTGCTGCTCTTGCTGCGCAGAGGCGGGGGAGGGCTGGGCGCCCTGCGGGGACGGCTCCTGCGTGGCCGCTGCTGCTGCGACTGCTGCTGCTGCTGCTGCTGCTGCTGCTTCCGCGGGGGCCTCGGCCAGCTGCTGCTCCTGCTGCTGCTTGTACTCCACCAAATGCCGAGTTAATTGAATAACTTCTTTAAGATCTGCCTGCAGCCTTTTCAAGTCTTCTGTTTCTTCTTGCTTCAGAGCTTCTTCCACTTGCTGCAGCTGCTCTTCGTACAGCTTTTGCTTCCCCTGCGCGCAGCAGCAGCAGCAGCAGCGCGGGCGCGTGCTGCTGCTGCTGCGCTGCTGCTGCAGCAGCAGCAAAGCCCAGGGCCCGGGCCCCAGGTTGCGGCCAACTCGGGCGCCGAACGCAGCAGCACCGCGGCAGCCCTGGCTGCCAGCAGGCAGCGGGAGAGCCCAGCAGCAGCAGCAACAGCAGCAGCAGCAACAGCAGCAACAGCAGCAGGAACAGCAGCACTAGCAGAAGCAGCAGCAGCGACTACCAAACGACGCAGACGCCGAGCGCAGCAGCACTTCATCAGGTCCGGCTGCCCGCCGGGGGCTCTCAGCAGCAGCAGCAGCAGCAGCAGCAGCAGCAGCAAATACCTTCAACTCCTCCAGGGACTCCTCGAACTCTGCCATTTTCGGGGACCGCAGCAGCAGCCCAGAGCCGCAGAGTCAGCGGCTCGGGGGCGGCGCTGGGCAGCTTGGAGGGCCAGGAGTTGCGGGGGATAAAAAGAAAGTGGAAACTAAAAAGAAAAGAAATAAAAGAATAAAAATAAATAAAAGAAATTAAAAAAAGAAACTAAAGTCAAACGAGTGGCTGCAGAAGCTCCCGCTGCGCTGCTGCTGCCGCCCGCAGCAGCAGGGCTTGGGGCTGGCCGCCGGCAGCCCCGGCGGCGGGGCGGTGGAAAAGGCAATTAAATTAAATTTGAATTTTAAATTTTTAATTCAAATTTAAAATTAAATTCAAAAATAAATTCAAATTCAAATTTAAATTCAAATTTTCTTCTCGAATTCCCGCAAAGCTTGCGGGACGCCGCCAGCGACGCCGCTCCGCAGAGTCCGAAGATCCAGTTTGTTCTTTTGGTTCAATTTGGCCTTTTATCTCGTCTTTTATTCTTTTATTTCATCTTTTATTCTTTTAATTATTATTTTATTCTTTTAATTCATGTTTTAATTTTCTAATTCATCTTCTCCTTTAATTCCTTCTGCCGGCGCTTTCAGCAGTTTGCCCTCGGTGCTCAGGTGTACGTACACCTCGCGCGAGCACTGCGAGACACCCCAGAGAATTGTTCAGAGAATTAATCACCACTTTTATTCAAAGAATTAATTGTCACTTTTATTAAAGGAATTAATTGCCACTTTTGTTCTTTTATATTTCGATACAGCACTTGAGGAAAGGCCGGACGCCTCAGATCCCTCCAATGCATGCATGCACTTTTCCAAATTGAACTCTGCCACTTTCTAAAAAGTAAATCAGATCATGAAATTAAAAAAAGAAATGCAAAAAGTGAAAAGTATTCATTCAAATAAATAAAAATGATATAAACAATAATAATAATATAATGATAAAGTTCGTTTCCAAGTGCAAAAAAAGCTTTTTGTTTATGAAGAGTTATTTCGAATTCCGCAGAAGAGGAAATCAGCTGTTAATAAAATGGCATTAATGGCAAAGTGTGGGGCCATCGAAACTTCACTTTAATTGAAGGCTTTGCTGCCAGCAAAGCCTCCAATTAAAGTGAAGTTTCTGGCATTTAGTCCCTCCATATCTCTCCATTTTAGTATATTTTTCAGTTCAAGTTATTTGTCCTTTTCGGATTCTTTAAATTAAACCAAAAGCTGCAACAAAGTAAAACAAACTTATTTTAAATTAAAGCTCTAGTGCTGCAGCTCATGGGCCCCTTAATAGCACTTCTAAGCTTGCATGCAAATCCTCTAAAGTATTCCAAATCCAACTGCTGCAGCGGGGGCCCCCAGGGGCCCCCAAGGGTACTAAGCCCTGGGGGCCCCCGGGGGGCCCCCAAGGGTACTAAACACAGGGGGCCCCAGGGGCCCCCAGGGGTATTAGACACAGGGCTCCGACTCAACAGCACAAATTAGTCCTTCTTTTGCTGCCTCAGAGTGCATGCAAAAGTGCATGCAAAAAATGCTAAAAGTGGTTTAATGGAAGCTCCATTTTGCCTTTTTTTGCGATAAATTATTCCGGAAAATAAAAGAAATGAAGAAATTTAAAAAGTGGATTAAAAGCTTTTCCATTTTCCCCGAAAGCTCCTAAACGAAAATCAAAAAAGATCCTTTCGGGTTTTGGGCTGAGAGAAGACCTGAGGAGAGGCTGGCGTTTGGGCTTTTGTTCTGTGTCGAGACAAATACGAATATTGCAGCCTTCAAGTTCAAATTATAATAAATAATAATAATAAGATTAATAAACATTTTAATAAAATGTTTAATTATTTTGTTGAAGTCATAAAATGGAACGGAGGCTTTTGTTGTCTGTTTCGCGGTGACACTGCGTGAGGTGTCTGTACACCTCATGTTTAAGCGGCGTCGGTCTGCACCAGCTGTTCTTCTGTTTGGGCGTTATTTAATTTAATTTTTAAAATGAAACAAAATAATAATTCAAATTAAAGTAAATAATTTAAATATTAGGAGCCAGGAGGAGTTTTTGCACTGCAGCCCTCGCCCGTCCTTCTAGTGGGCGCTGCGGCTCGCCCACTTCGCTGCAGTCCAGTGTGCAGCAATTTGTCCGTTCTTTTCTGTTTTTTCTTTTTTATTTTATTTAAAATTAATTTAAAAACTCAAAATGAACCATTTAAAACGCCTCAAGCCGCCGGGTGTACGTACACCCGACCCCAGCCAGCTCCGGCGCTCGAGACGGATGCCCCCTCTGCTTCCGGGGCGCAGCGGGTGTGCAAGGGCTCAAAGGGACTTAAAAGATTAATTTTTGAATTATTTATTTTTTAAATTTCAAATTTCGCCAAAAGGAATTCAAATAAAGGCATTTGGAAGTAAATTTCGCGTTTGACGGCCGCCCAGGTGTCCCTACATACACTGGAGCCACCGCTGGGGGCCACGGGAGAGCCGCGAAAAGCCGTTTCGGCTTTTCTGCAAAACTTGAAATTCTATTTCAGAAATAAAACCATTTAAAGAGCTACAAGACCAAATGGCGCCACGGAAGGGCGGAGGGGGCGGCGGGCGCAGCGCCGGGAGGTCCAGTGGTCACGCCAGTGGTCACGGAGGGCCCTCGAGCAGCATGGGGAGCTCGGGGGGCCCCAAGGGGGGCCCCAAAGGGGTCCCCAAGGGGGGCCCCCACGGGCTCGGGGTATCGCTGATGGGGACCCCTGGAGGTTGGGGGACCCCCGAAAGGGGGGGCAAAGGCCCTAATGACAGGCGATTGAACTTATTCTCATGCATGAGAGGAAGTAACTCTTGACTTCAAGAAAACAAATTGGCTGTAGAAAGCCCCGCATATTCTCCCGAGAAGAGCCCGGGGGGAAATGGGGGAAATTGGCGTTGGTGGCGTTTTTGGGGTGTACGTACACCCCGCACTGTGTGCAATTAGTTGGGATTTCGCCTTTTTATTTCTCCGCAGAAGTGCGGAGAAATGGAGCGACAAAAAGCCGCTTTTGTGCAGCTTGGAGCATGCAATGTGTCCCAACTACTTCTGAAATAAATGCGGAATTCTAATGGATCAAAATGAGAAGTGAAATGCGTCTTTGAGTGGCCGGTTGAGTGGGCCCTACTGGGGTGTACGTACACTGCACACGGAGCGTGCGTCGAGTGGCAGGAGGAGGGCGGGGGTTTGCGCGGCTATTAAAATAAAACAAAATTGAATATAATTAAGCGAAATTAAATATAATTAAATAAAATCAAAGATAATTAAATTAAATTTAATCAAATTCATCGGTTTAATCCGCAAAAAAAGACTGTCTTTCCGTAGAACCTGAGGCGCCACCCGCTGGCAAACCCAGGGCCCGCTCACGCCGGGCCGATTAAGTCCTTCGTAGATGTTTAATTTGATATTTTGAAATAAATTAATATTTAGAACATTAAATTGTAAATATATTTAAATTTTAAATGCGTTTAGTAGGCTTTCTTCCCAGGTTTGCCCGCAGCAGCTTCAGCAGCCACGTAGTGCGTAGCTCTTCAGGTGTTCGTACACCTGAGCTACTCAGGACTAGTGAGCAGCAGTTCAGAATTCAATTTGTTTTATTTCAGTTTTTAATTCTGCAATATTTCCACTTTTGTCAGGCCTTTTGTGCCGTTTGTGAGGCAGGGAGGGCTCAGGCCTGCAGCTAGGGTTTAGGGCCTTCCGGAGGGCCAAACACGAGGGTTTAGGGTTTAGGGTTTGGGTTTTCAAGGGGGCGAAACACGAGGGTTTAGCGTTTAGGGTTTAGAGACTGAGTTGGTGGGGCCTCCAGGTGTACAGACACCGCAGGAAACGGCTGTGGCCTTCTAGGGTTTGGGGTATTGAGAAGCAAAAAGAAAGTTTAAAACGAGGGTTTAGGTTTTGGTTTGCTGCTGCTAGACTCCTCCAGCCTGTCTGCATGCACCTCAGGGCTAGGGTTTAGGGTTTAGGGTTTAGAAGGCTGTTTGTCTTGAAAGGGTTTTATGCATTAGGCCATTTTGGGTTTCTGTATTCATCTTGCTGCTCCTTGCTGTCAAAAGATACAATGAGGGAAATAAACTGAGAAGATTTGCTCATTTGTAAAATTCTGCTGCTGCTGCTGCTGCTGCAGCAGCTGCTGCTGCTGTTCCGTGCTGCTGCTTCTACGCACACTATGGCGACGCAAAAGACTTGTTGATGTTCATTTTCTACTTTTTCCTGCAGCAGCTGCTGCTGTTGCGTGCTGCTGCTGCTGCTGTCGCGTGCTGCTGCTACTGTCGCGTGCTGCTGCTGCTGTTGCTGCTGCTGCTGCTGCTGTTGCTTTATTCTGATCAACAAAGCCTTAATAGCAAAGAAGTGCTGCTGGCAATTTGGCCGTTGGGGTGTATGTACACCTTGTGTCAATTTGCAGCTGCGGCTGCACCTCGGACAATTTATTTTATTTCATTTATTTTCCTTTTTTGTTTTTGTCGGATTTAAAAACTCCATTTATTATTATTAATTATTATTATTATTATTATTATTGTCAGTATTATTGTTATTATAATTAATATTATTTATTATTACCCTAATTATTATTATTATTACTAATTATTATTATTAATTATTATTGTTATTGATTATTATTATTACTTTTATTTTATTTACCTCAGGGCCTATTTCATTTTAGAGGAATAAATCGAAGCAAATTCAAAAAGACAGAAATGCCAATTTGAACTAAAGAAAGGGCGAACAGAGATGCGGGGTGTACCTACCCTGAGGCAGCTGCTGCTGCTGCTGCTGCTGCTACTGCTGCTGGTATTGCTGCTGCTGCTGCTGCTGCTGCTACTGCTGCTGCTGCTGCGCTGCAGCAGTAGCAGCAGCAGTATTACATGAATGAAAGCTCCCAGAGTTCATTTGCTTCAGCTCATGTGCTGCGCTGCAGCAGCAGCAGCAGCAGCAGGTGCTGCTGCAGCAGTGCCGGTGATTGTTTTTAAAGCGTTTTGAGTTTGCAGGCCGCGAGACTACCTCTAGGGCTTAGGGTTTAGGGTTTAGGGTTTAGGGTTTAGGGTTTAGGGTTTAGTGTTTAGGGTTTAGGGTTTAGGGTTTAGGGCTTGGAGCATCTTTTGATGGCAAGTTGGCCAGAAGGAATCGAGGGAGTCGGGAGTTGGGGAGGCGGGGGCTCGGGTGTACGTACACCCGGCGAGGGGAAGTGGAAAGCGAAATAAAATTAAAAAACTGAAAAAAAAGAAAATTGAATTTTGCAAGATGAACAGTTGAGGTGTACGTACACCGCGCAGCCCCGATGCAGGCGGTGTCACTGCAGCGCTTTCCGGCGGCAGCCGGCGAGTTGGAGGGAATCTGTAGGGCATTTTCTTCATTTTGGAGTTTTAAAAAGCATTAAATGTTGAATTAAATCTCTGAAATTGTTTATTTTCTGGAATGAAGACGCAGGTTTCCTCGTTTGCGTCCTCGCGTGGCAGCCACATGCGCAGGGCGGCTTTCCCAGCTTGCGACTCCGCTTTCGCCTCCGGACTCCGCGCAATTTATTTCTTTTTCTTTTGTTTTTAAATGATTTCCATTTTAATCCTCAACCCGCCTCAGATCGGCTGATCTTCCGCAGCTTCCCGCGGCGTCGACGCGCGAGCGCCCGCTCAGCAGCAGCAGCAGCAGCAGCAGCAGCAGCAGCAGCGGCTCTTCTTCCGTTCAAGTTCTCCTCTTCAGCCTCAGCGCCTCCAGCCCTGGCTGACCTTCTGCTGCTCAGCTGCGGGAACGCCCTCAAGGGCGCTGCGTGGAGCCCGGCAGCAGCAGCAGCAGCAGCAGCAGCAGTAGCAGAAACGCCCTTAGCAACGGCAGCTGGAGCAGCAGCGGCGGCAGCAGCTGCTGCCGCGGGCTACGAAGGAGCGACGCTGTGGGGCAGACGCTTCGAGCATCCGCAGCAGCTGCAGCAGCAGCGGCTGCAGCAGCGGCTGCAGCAGCAGGGGCAGCAGCAACACCGTTCGCTGCAGCGCCACCAGCAGCACCGCAGCCGCAGCCGCAGGGAGAGCAGTAGAACTCGCGGCACTAGCACCAGAACTAGCAACAGCAGCAGCAGCAGTAGCAGCAGCAGCAGCAGCAGCATTTGTTTGGCTATGGATGAATTTTCAGGTCTTAGTTTGCTTCTATTTCTTTGCCCGATATATTTAAGTATGAACAGCCCTTAGGCTTGGGCGCTTGGTGTTCTTTTTCTTGTTGCTTTTTTTGTTTGTCTCGAAGCAGCAGCAGCACAGCAGCAGCAGCAGCAGCAGCAGCAGCAGCAGCAGCAGTAGGGATGTTTGCTTCGCGTTTGGGCGCTTCGCGCCCCACAAGACGGCGAGGCTGCTGCAGGCTGCTGCTGATTTACGCAGCTTTCTTAATTGTCTTTTTCCCTTCGTTTAAAGAGCTTCGCCTTCCTGCTGCTGCTGCTGCTGCTGCTGCTGCGCACGGCGCTGCTGCTGCTGCTGCAGCTCCGCCGCCGCATCCCGCGCCACATCCGGGCTTGTTCAGACGAATAGGACGCAGCATAAGAGGTAAACAAAGAATAATAAAATAAAAATAATAATAATAATAATAACAATAATAATAATCGTGCCGCATTGTTTGCTGCAGTAGTTTGCTGCTGCAGTTTGCTGCTGCAGTTTGCTGCTGCAGTTTGATGCTGCAGTTTGATGCTGCAGTTTGCTGCTGCAGCTTGCTGCTGCGGTTTGCTGCTGGTGTCCGTACTCTTAGGGAGGACTGTGCATGGTTGGTTTTGGGAAATGAACAAAAATAGAACGAAGACTAAAAATAAAAATAATAAACAAATAAAAAATGAAGTTTTAGAAGAAAGAAATAAAGGGAAGTTCGATTTGGAGGAAGTTTACTTTTGCTGCTTTTTGCTGCAGGCATATTCCGGCGGGGGCCCCCGAGGGGGGCCCCCCCCGCAGCAGCAG